TTTATGAACAATATTTGAACTTGATGAACAAAGTTTGTATCCAAGAACTTTTTTCTAAAAAAATGTGAACAAATATTTAATTTGATGAAGTTTTTCCAAAAAAGTGAACAAAAATAGAATTTGATGAACATATTTATAGTTCAATGAACAAATTTTGAATTTTGATGAACATTTTTAAAATCCGATGGACAATATATGAATTCTTGAAAAAGAATTTCTACATGGTAGAATATTTTTTGAATTTGATGAACAAACAAATGTCACAAATTTGAAAAGAAAAATTGCAAAAGTAGTGAAAATGTAAAGAAGAGAAAAAATAGAAAAAAGGGGAAAAGAAAGAAAAAATAAAATAATTAAAAAGAAAAAAGAAAAAGAAAAACAGAAAAGAAAATAAAAAAGAAAAAGAAAAGGAGAAAAAAAACCAATAGAGAAGACATAAAAAAATAAAAAGGGGTTTTTGGGAAGGTTCTACATTCCCAAAATAGGTGGGGGAGTAAACCGCATAATGGGCCGACCCACACGAACGACCTGCGCGCTAAATAGGAGCTGCCCGATACTAGGGCATCGAGGCGCTGCTACGGCGTCGTCTGTTCTGGATCGCCGGCGCCCGCCGATCGATTCGATCCTTGACGCCTGCCGTCGTCGATGGCAACCAACAGCGACACGCATGCATGATGCATTGTGAACACTCCAAACCTGACTTGCTTCACGGCGCAGCAGCGCGGCACCCGAGTGCATTTGCACCCAAATCTCGTGATTCGTGGGTGTTGTTTCTATTTTTCTTAATTTCTGATTTCTTTAAAGTGCCTTTACTTCTTAATTTCTAATTTCTTTAAAGTGCCTTCACAAGTAGTTTTAATGTAGTATATCTACCGACATAGGAAGTCTGGTGGCAATCGACAGGAGCAAGTTCTGAACTCACGTTAGTCGTTCTTCGTCAGCATCTGACTTGCAGCGGAACTTCCCGTCCTTACTTACAACCTCATTACTGATGATTTTGGCCAACACATTTTGGATGCGCTTATGCTCAATTGAGAATTCCCCTATGTTCATGCCCCTCTCCTTCTCCTCAGACCACTGGATGGTTTGGCTATGATTTTGTAAAAAAGATATTGTGCAAAAAGTCGTCTATGATGACCATGATACAATAGCCAAACCTTGGAACCTTCTTCAGTTTGGTTCGAGACTTCTGATGGTCTCTCGTGACTCATGAGCGTTCTTTCTATTTTTCTTCAATTCACCTTTGTAGAACTGCCGCTATAGAATTCTAAGTGAAACAAAACCCAGATTTTATGCCTCGGCTTTTTAGGAGGTACACACATACATCATTAATTAATTTATAAACCCATTGTTCTTCTTCAAATATCATACCCTTCCTACATGTCAGAGGCAAAAACCCACACACAGAAAGTTCCCTATAAAAGGAGCTAAAAATAAATATATAATTCAGCTCGAGGAAGAATCATGAAGCCTTTCCCCCGAATTGGAGGTAATCACACATATAAAATTAATATTTATAAATCTAGTTATTCTTCTGTAAATATAAAAGTGATGATAAGATGCAACTGTCTATGAAGCAAGTAGTTGAAGAACTAATCGAGAAGAATCAACTGGGCACAAAATCCATAAATTTGAAGGAATGAAGTTTTTATCCTTCCACAAATAAGATGATATTGTGTATTATGACACACCAAAATGAAGAATCCTAGAAAGACTAACGGCATGAACGGCAACCTTGTTACAAAAGGCAACAAGGATGAGGTTGATGTGGACAAAATCAGAGAATAATAAATTAATCCTCCATCTTTGATGAGCTGATACACATCAATGATGTTTATCTAGAGCAAAGTCATCTAAGTGTCTCGACCAACGACAATGTTAATTAAGAAACTGACGAGTGCTTGGGCGAACATGTACTATTTACAGACTTGTTTGAAACCAAAATATTCATATTGGTGTTTTAAAATTGATGTGTTTTTTGTGTTTCTTAATTGGCTCCTTAATGCATGCATCGAGTTACTTAGGGCCAACAAACTTGAAGATCTGAGAAAGGACGAAAAGGTTTATCTTGAAAGATCGACCAAGGTCTAGCTTCTAAAATTTGATGGGCTTCCTAACATAGAAAATGAGATATTGGCATGGGGATGTTAGCTTTGCACATGAGATGGTAGGAACTACCCTATACAAAAGATCTAACATATATTTATTTATTTTGCATATGAAGGCCGAAAACTAATTTTATGTTTCAGATATTCTCCCAATGAATATGTAGAACATGCATGTTATTGGCCGCACTGAACATACTAGAAAGGCGGATCTAGATCCTTGACTCCATGCTTAATGAGAAAGGGAGCCTTCGCCAAACAATGAATTGCGATATAGATATACTAGGTGTTATGTATGGGTCGTATGATTTAATTGTTTGACAATGTCATAATATGATGGTTGACACTTGTATGATTTGTAGTCCTTAGGTATGGAAGCACACGAACCTGTCTCTAAGATGGAAAGTTGTCCAAAGAAAACTTGTCTGACTCATCGTTACTGTCAACATGGACGGTTGTTATTCAAAACAACCCAGATTAGTCAGATGGGTACGTGCACAATTATCAAATTTTGTTTCCCCAACAAAATTAGTACGACCACACACTAACAATAATCATTATTTATTCACATTGTATATGTGGCCTATTTTTTATATTAAGAACATAGAATCCTGGATAGGAAACAAGCTAACTGATCAATTTGACCAGGTAAACATACGCAATATTTTCAACAACACTGGTCGTTTCATCAGTACTAACCCTTTCCACTTGGATAGGTCCACATTGACAAACTTGCAATGAAACTACTAGCTATATTGGTTAGCTCACCACTTAACAAGATGAGGAAGCGCTACCATGAAGCAACAAACATAATGGACCCGGACGGAGGGAGTACATATACAACTAACCCTACATAATGAAAAACCAAGCGACACATGTTTTGAAGCAACCCAAATTCGCCAAAAGAAGAAGAAGATAAGCTCCTAACGAAAATGTCACTACTTTAAAATATTCCTAGCTGAAACACAAATCCCGTAATTATTATTTTTGAAATATCCGTAGTTGAGCTACTCCATTTGTCAATTTGTAATGTCAACAATCTCTCCACTACGTACAAACCTACCACCAGTGTTCAAGTCCTAGGATCATACCTTTCTGAATTTATTTCAAACCTTTTGATGATGTGCGTTTAGTGGGTGAAGACATTCCTCCATCGATTATGAAGGTGTCTGTGACGACTTTGTCAATCTTAAATTGATGTGCCGCTCAATCTTCGAGAAACACCCATATGATAGGATGTGTGGGCGCGCGTTCATAGGTGTGAGTATATGTGCATAGTATATATATGAGCGCGTCTGTAGTGTGTTAAGAAAACAGTCTCTCAACCGATCAGCATCCCCGGACTTGATTTTGTTCGAAGATTCCCAAGACAACGCGACTTGATTCGCCACTAGTCGCAGGTGCCCACCGCTTTGGCGACGTTGCCACATTGTCGTTATCCCTTAGTCATACAACTTGCCACTAGTTCCAGGAGCAGTGTACCTTCTATGCACATTAATCTGGAAAATAATATTTTCAAAAGGGCGGGCTTCTATTGCACACTAATCTGGAGAATTATACTTTCAAAAGGACACGAGTTCCACAAGATTGATATATTCCATCCAACGAATTCTGATTTGATTGGTGTTTTCTTTTATCAAATAAACGAGGTTGTAACCCCGGCCTCTGATTGAATTGTTCAGGGTCGACATCCATCGACACTTAGGACCATTCTAAAATACACTTAGGACACATTGTTCAGGGATAACACTGCCTAGCCGCATAATCACAAATTCACAATCGACGATGCCAAACAAGCGAGCGGACGTGTTAAGCGGGAAACAGTAATAGTACATGGCTTACTAGTGGAGTGCGCATCTACAAACACGCACTAACCGGACCATTCTAAAATATATAAAAAAGGGGACAACTTGCTAGTGCTGTATGCATATATGCACGCTCTACTAGTAATCTATGCATCATTAAATACCAATACTTTTTATTTGGAAGTCCAAATTAAGTGACTTTTCAAAATTTGTAAAATAAATAGATATCTAATAGAACAAGTTTTATTTCCTGTTTAACATGTTTAGATTTTATAAAATTAAATATCAATAATATGCAAATAAATATTGATTCTAATTTTCTCAAGCAAACGTTTGAATTCATTTTATTCATCATCGGTTTGTCTTGAAACTTTTTCTGTGCTCAACATACAACATTTCATCTTCCATGTCATTTTTGTTCTATTTTTCTGAATCTGTTTAATCTATTTAAGTCATTAAGTGCATTCCTCAGTATTTAATGGATACATTTCAAATTTGAACTGCAAGCACACGTTATCATATGTGCTTCTTAGTTATAATTTCCTTCATTTTTTGAAAAAGAGGTTGAAAGCCCCCAACCTCTACATCAGTGTGATGCATTATTATAAGGTTTACAGCATCAGAGAATGACAAAGGAAATTTTTAACAAGCATGCATGCGGACGTGGTAAATCTGTAGAAGCTCTTCCTCTACCAATCTAGATTTTTTACAAGCATGCACGCTGACGTGGCACGATGACGGGGATATGACCCCTGCTCTGCAGGCATATCACAGTGTCGTAGAAGCTTGTCCTCATGTCAGTGAACTCCAGCCCCAAGTCCCTGAGCCTCTGGTTCGAGAACCTGTACGGGCTCGCTGTTGGCTTGCCGTCGTCTTCACACTTGGCCGTGACGGGGTACTGCGGGTAGAGGTCCCTGAGGAGGCCGACGAAGTCGGCGCGGTGCAGCACGGCCCTGACGCAGAGGTAGCGATGGCCGCGGGCGTCTGGGTGCTCGTAGACGAGAGCGTGCGCGCGAGCGACGTCCCGGACATCAATGTAGCCGGTGACGGTGTTCTGGTAGGCCGGCTTGGCGCCCGTGAGGAAGCGGGCTTAGTTGAGTGTCTGCTGTAGGGAGGGACCGATCGTCACGGCCGGCACAACCACGGCCAGCTCCAGTCCCCTCCTAGCCGCCTCCTCCGTCGCCGCGACCTCCGCCATCATCTTGGCGCAGCAGTACAGGTTCTGCGCACGAGGATTGGTTTGTTTAGTTCACTGGCGAGAAAGATATATGCATGGGGGCACATGGAGTCGAGCTTGCTCACACTTACGCCGGTTTGTTTGCAGTAGTCATAGTCGCTCCAGCACGACTCGTCGAGGACGATGTCGGGGCTCCGGTTGGGGTCCATGTGCACGGCGCCGTAGGATGAAGTGAACACCACACGCCGCACGCCCGCGTCCGCCGCCGCGTTGATCACGTTCATCGTTCCCTCCACGGCCGTCGGCACGAGCTCCTGCAAGCGCAGCATGGGCAAGTAAGTGCTCCATGTCCATGCTACGCGGCGCGCATCTTAAGGTCTCAGAAGAGCAGAGGAGGCAGTGAGCTAACGGGATCGTTGGAGACCCGGGAGGCGACGTGGAAGACGCCGTGACATCCTTGGAACACGTCGCAGAGGCCGTCGTAGTGAAGCACATTGGCACGGCACAGGGTGAGCCTCTCCTGGGCGCCATCCAGCGCCAGCAAGTGCGCATTCTTGCGGTCAGCTTCACCAACAAATTGAAGCAATCAGTCAAGCAAAGGGATGGAAATGCGAGATAGCTGGATGGACCAATGCTTGCGCCTACAGGGATCCCTGGCGGTTCCCCTGACGTGGTAGCCACGGAGGAGGAGCTCCTTCACCACCCAAGAGCCGATGTAGCTCCCCGCCCCGGTCACGCAAACCAAGTGCTTCTCGTCGCCATTACCGCCGGCCGCTTTGGAGCTGGACTGCATGGTGATGGTCGACAGTGGTGGTTGTCCGTCGTCGATGCTGAATTGGGCGCAAGCATGGCGTGTATATATAGAACGAGACATGAGTACAACAATAACTATTAAGACGAGACGTGCGCCGTTGCGTATCTCGACTAATTTTATTTTTTGCACGCGGACGTGATTCACGTTGGGCCCCTAACGTGATCGATCCAACCTGAAATCATACTCATGCATCGACTTCGCGTGACCGTGTCATGTCATGTCCAGGCCAGAGACGTGCCGCCGCGCTTAGAGTCAACTGAGGGGCTGAGATTTCCGTTGACTAGATGATACCCTGCGCATTGCTGCAGAAACTCTTAGTCCTATGCGTATGAGAATACATAAATTGAAGAAATTTGTTTGCATGTTGGGTTTCTTATATAGCATAAACAAAACTGCCCTGTGGACAATACTTGGTGTATAGTTGTAAAGATGGCAGTGTATCATTTTTTTTTACAGTTTTGCTAGAACTCATCTAGATGAGATTAAATTTGGTCTCATTCATCTTTTATAGCCATTGGATGTGGTGCTATAAGATGCGTGTGTGCTGACGTGGGTTGTATCCGTTCTTGTTTTCCAGGTGAATGAGACCAAATTACGTCTCATCTAGATGAGTTCTAGGTACTCCCCTTTTTTAACTAAATACAGTGATATGACAGAAGTAATCTCATAGGTTTTACATAAGTCTAATGTTTATTAAAAATAAAGAACATGGATTTGAAATGGAGATGCCTTGAAAGGATATGTACATATTGCCATTTTGAGATACTTCTGTATTATGTGAGACTTGTTGTAAATCAATCTTCTGCACATCGGTACGTAGTTCTACATACGATAGCCAAGTAGTTCAGACCAGCCAGTGTAAAAATAGTTGTTACATTAAATAGCTGTATCTTCTCATAACCATGCAGCAAGTACCCATCAAAAAATAGTCATCATTATATTCTCACAGTATCCAATCTAATTCGAAGATAGATGGTGCTAAAAAGGGAAAAAACAACTCCACACAGTAGAGCATATATGCTTTGAGTAAACATGTGAACAATCCAAATTTAAAATGAATTTCTTGATTACATAACATATTATCTTATATCTGCGAAAACGAAACTGAAGAGGTTAGTACAAATATGCAATAAAACAAGCTTACTTGCCAAATTTCTTAAAGATATTTCTGCAGCCTGATGCCGTACTTCTTTCCTTGTACTACCAACGCCTTCACCCAACCTAATTAAATGAAGCAAGCTCAAGAACACTAAAGGAGACAATAACAAAATTTTGCAGACCAATCCGCTTAGAGGACAGGAGTTAGCGGGGAAGGGAGGGGAGGCGGGGAGGGGCGCACCAGATCGGACGTCTTGATGAGGCCCTCCAGGCGGGAGTTGTTCATGATGTTGA